GCCCGCAGCGCCTGTGGTTGCTGAGCGCGGCTGCTGTTCAGGACGCGTCTCGGTTTTTGCAATAAGGCATGTGGCTTGCTGGCGTCAGGCTTGGGGAGGAGGGGGCAGGAGCCCGCGCTGAAATCCGGGGGCTGCGCTGCAGTGGGTTGTGCCGAGGTGGATGCCGAGGAACGGAGCTAGCCCGGAGCTGGCTGTGCTCCCCTGGCTGAGGCTCCTCCAGCGTCTGAAGCAAGAGGTCCTTGGGTGCTGCAGGTGCTGTGGCTCTGGGTGACGTGCTCCAGCCTCAGCGTTTTCTCCTGAGGCAAACGTTTTTCTTCCTGAGCTGCCACGCTGTTCTGGAGAATACTGCTTTGCAGAATGCCTCCCTGCCCTCTTCCGCAACGAGACGACGTGAACAGCCGTCGTGCCGGCTGCGCGTCCCGGCTCTCCGCACGGCAGGGAAGGAGGGGCTGAATGAGGGAAATGCATCCTAGGTGTCACTGGAGCAGGCACCTAATTGGCTTTAGATGGAGGAGCGTTAATCAGAAGGTGGCTAAAAGCTTTCCTGGTGCTTTATCACGCTGACCGAGCTAGCACGGGCTCTGCACGCAGGATGAAAGGTTGAAGTCTTGTCGCACCCTAGTGCTTGAGGTACAGCTGTCGCTCCTGGCGCCCGCCCGTGCGCGGGAGCTGGAGCCGGGCGCAGCTTGGGGCTCCCCGCGCTTGCGGCCCTGCGGACCAAGGTGCCTTTGGCTCAGCTTTTGCAAGAGAGGATTAAGTTTCTTAGCGCGGGCCTGTCTTAGTAGGCAGCTACGAGGCCTGGCCTCCCGCAGCGCCTGTGGTTGCTGAGCGCGGCTGCTGTTCAGGACGCGTCTCGTTTTTTGCAATAAGGCATGTGGCTTGCTGGCGTCAGGCTTGGGGAGGAGGGGGCAGGAGCCCGCGCTGAAATCCGGGGGCTGCGCTGCAGTGGGTTGTGCCGAGGTGGATGCCGAGGAACGGAGCTAGCCCGGAGCTGGCTGTGCTCCCCTGGCTGAGGCTCCTCCAGCGTCTGCAGCAAGAGGTCCTTGGGTGCTGCAGGTGCCGTGGCTCTG